CCATTTAGCAAGTGAATGTAAAATAGCAGGACCAGTTGCATATCGATGGATGTGCTTCATTGAAAGGTAATTTATTGAATATACATTGATAGCTTATTACAATCTTTCTCTCCTAAATTTGTTACAATCTTTTTTTGCATATACATTTATAACTTATTGGATATATATGTGCTATAGGTATCTTGGTGAGCTAAAGTCCTTTGTTCGGAACAAAGCTCGTCCAGAGGGTTCAATTGCAGAATTTTATCGTATGAGTGCATGACATTTTGTTCAAGATATCTACAGGGTTTCTCCACCAAGCATAACCAACCATCAAGGAATGATGACAACCCACAGGACTCTGAATCTTCAATATTTTCACAACAATCTATGTTGTTTCCTCCAGTAGGGAAACCATTGGGAAGACCAATGGCATACACTTTAATGGATAAGGAGGCAACACAAGCCCACAGATATGTGTTGTTCAACTGTGATGCTGTGAAGCCATATTTAGAGTAAATGTCATGCCACTATCTCTTCATTTTTTAATTAATAAGTTTTAAACTGAAATAGTGGTCTTTGTATTTTGTAGAGAACATGGGGCTTATTTGAGAAGGAAGAATCGCAAGAAGCGCATAGATCCAAGGACCTTTGAGAAGATGCAGCATGAACAATTTCCTGAATGGTTCAAGGATCATGTAAGTACAATGATTCAACTTATTTAGAATTAGAATGTAGCTTATGCACTCTATTATTTGTGTTCCTATAGGTGATGCAGTTGGAGAGGGAGAAAGGTAGTGACAACATCAATGAGGAAATTAGATGGTTGGCCCGTGGTCCACTTGAGGTTGCAACGAAACATAGGGCATTTAATATTCAAGGATACAGATTTAGGCCGAAGCGTTATGACAAAGTAACTCAAAATAGTGGAGTTGTTGTGACAGCAAAAACGTCAAGCTACTCTTCTGCACGTGATAAAAATCCTATTCTTGGAAATGTCATGTACTTTGGAAGGATTGTGGACATTATTGAGTTAGACTATTTCCGAAAATTTTCTGTGGTGCTATTTAAATGTGAATGGGTTGATGGTACCGAAGGAAAAGGTATGCAAATAGATAAGTATGGGTGTAGACTTGTGAATTTCTCTAGTCTAACTCACACTGGTAAAAAGGCAGAGGATGAACCTTTTGTATTTGCCAATCAAGTTGACCAAGTATTCTACGTGGATGACCATCTTTATCCAGGATGGTCAATTGTTTTGAAGATGATGCCTCGAGATAATTTTGATATGGGTGAAGAATGGAATGATGTGGAAACAGAAGCTTATCATGTCAGTAAATTCTTTCAGCTTTTTGATACTGCCCATCAGAAACAAAATTGGATGAGAAGAGATATAGAGGGAGAAACTGTAGATGCTCCTATAGTGTCAAGTGATGACACAGTACCTGAATAAAGGTGAGGTTCCAATGTGATTATGTTATTTACATTCTTAGTATCATTGCTGCAACTTATGTCATTCTGGACATGAAACTTACCACTATTGCTTCTGAATGCAGGTTTGATGGATAATTGAAAAGTCACCTATCTGAATATGTGGAGCCTACTTGAAGTGACGAATTCATTAGTGTTATTGCTATTTTTTCTTTAATGTTTATGTACTTTATAATTCAGACAAGAATATTTGTAGGTGTGACAGGCCTAATAAAGTGCCAATACTTGATCCCAAATATGTTGGTTCCACGAGTAGCATAGAAGTGTTAAAAAATATTTCTTTATAGAAGGAGTACATACGTACTTGATCTAGTCCAATTTCAATTGATGGCGGTGCCTTCTGCTCACCCTCGCGGCTTCGCTGAGTCGCCGTCGCCGCATACTGGTCGCCTCGCCTCGTCCCGTGCATGCGCATGCCTGATGCAAGTGACCGGTGTGGATGTGAAGCCAGGGATAGCTCACAAAACTTAAAAATTATATCGAAAGAATTACTGTACGTACGCATTTGCACCAGAATTTAGGTATGGCATGCGCCAAACCTGGCCAGATAGCTGGCTTCCGCACTGCTCCTTGTTTGGTACAGCGCGCCATCAGGAGGGAGAAGCCTCGCGGTGCATCAGACAACGCGTCTGGTGTAGCACGCGACCAGTAATTCTGATGCAGGTTTAGCGTGAGGCATAGGGACAGATTGGAATTTCAGCAGCGCTGTTTTTTCTTACAAAATTTCATACCTTTTTATTATAATATATTAATTAATGATATTAAAACACACATATACAATTAAATACGCGCGCTCAAATTCCCTTGAACCGGCATCAAAATTGGGAGGTTTGTGGACGTCCCGACTCGTGCTAATATACGTGGTCCCTGCCTTGGCGCGCACAGCGCCGCCGTCGGTCTGATCAACTGATCACACGCCTGTTTTCGCCAGGCACGCCCCCGAGCATGCGCCTACCGCAGAATGAGCCACAGGTTGTCGTCGCGTCGTCCCTTCGTACCGCTGCATCGCCGCCCCAAGGTTTTCCCGCCGGCTGCCCCGACCAGGTACTTCGACACCGATCACCCCGACTCGACATCGACCAAGGCGCTCTGCACATGGCTACCTCGACCATGGCTACCACCACCGTACACTCACGGCTATCTCGACAACGGCACAAAGGGCTACCGCCTTGCTTGGGCAATCTCATCAGTTTCCACTCCACACACGACTTTCGCGATGCATCGACCGTTATGACTGTAGGGTGGATGTCCGTTGGTTTACCTTCGGATTCTTCTCCAATGTCACCATATGCGCCGCTACCGTTCTGACTGCGGGGCAGGGGAGGGGGGGGGAGATGTTGAGTATCGTGATTAGATTGGAAACATAGGATAGACTAGGAAGTATTCTAGTTTGTTTTGTACTCCAAGTAGATCATGTACTTCTATATATACGCCCACGAGGCTCGGTCAATAAACATCGATTCCACCAATCTCCCTCTACCCTTCCAACAGTAGGATATGATCCGATCCGATCCTCTCCTGGACAGGCAAGATGGGTAAGTCGGGTTCTCCAGGATGGTTCTCCGCACCAACTGAACGATCAGTCTTTTGGCCGATCCTCCTCCTCTGCGCCTTTGAAGGAGGAAGGTCTTGCTCTACTCGGATGATGTAGAGCATGATCAGCCGCCACTCCTCGACGAGGCTACCGCAACAGATGAGGAGTTCCAACCACAGTTTGAAGCTCATTCCGTGATCACGGTTTGGCACCGCGCTTGTCGATGCCTTGTGGCCCCATTGCTGCCATCGCCGCCCTGTTGGTGCTCGCTCGCCGTGAACTAGGAGCCATACCTGGCGCTCATGAACGCACGCAGGTGAATCGTGCATTACCTTCGACACGGCAGCTGGAGAACGTCGCCGCAGTGTCCTGGCGGCGGGAAAGTCAGTGGACGGATGCAACGCACCACACCGTGTCGTGTTCGAGATGTCAGACGTCTTGCCAGACTAGGTCCTCGCAAACGACGTGCTGGCGGAGGCCTATGCGCCGCCTCAATGGGAGGGGCGGGCAGAACGGTGCGACGTTCGCGGCCGACGCTGGCCTGTGGGCGACGGGGGAGGAAGCTGAGCGGCTACACCGACGGCAGGTCGGCCAATCAGCCCGTTTTGACTAATAAATAACATTATTAGTTCATCCATTTTGCATTGAATTTGTACAAACATAGAAGAAGCACGTTGTGTTGGCACAAATATATGTGCAAGTGCCTGTCAAGGGCCAGATGATAATAAAAAATATTATAATTTTTTTCGCTTCAAATTTGTAGTCTCTTGTTTTTTTTTTGATTTCACACCAATTTTTCCCTTTCCCTCTATTCTCTCCCGCCAAGAGCCACTAATTCTAGTCAAAAGAAAATAAGTACGCGCGCTTCATTAACATCAGCTCTCGCGAGGAGGTAACTACGCCAACAAAATCGGAAACCTCCTCCCCCTCCCCCATATCAACGCAGTTCCCTTCTTCTTCTTGTACGAAAGATCCCTTCTTGAGCGGATCAATCGTGGCCAGCCCTCCCTCCTGAGTCTCACAGCTCACCCCGCCGATTCCACCATTGAGGCTGAGGGCACCAGGGGCGTGTCTTGTTCAACAACTGGGCGGTAAGCAGATCAATCCCCACACCTGATTCATAGAAACAGAAGGTAAATTCTGGTATGACTTGAAGATTTTGCCTCGCCCCCTTCTTGGTTCAGATCTGGCCCTTCTATCCTTAATAATTACTCTTCTCTTGAGTGAATTCGATAGTGCACACCAAGTGTTTGATAGTTGTCCTCTGTTATTGGTTTAGAATTTTTGGGAGCCTTCAGATAGAGTTGGTTGCTTCTGGTAACTATTGGGGTGTCAGGTGCGGACGCGTGCAGTATTTCAATCTAGTTCTGCACCATTACTACCTTGGCGACTTCAATCTCTTCATAGACTTTTTTATGGAACTCTAATTCTGAATATCATGTTCTTGTTGGGTAGTATAGTTGGGTTAGTTCTTATGAGTATCAGACCATGATCTGCGGCCCCCAATAATTTGAATGCTAATGTTTTATGAATACTAGAACATGATGTGCAGCAGCACAACTCACAGTCCAGTCTGCAAACAACACACTTGTTCTGAAAATAAATGTTAGTGACTTGAGAATAACATTTCGTCAGCCTAGCTATATTGGTTGTGCATGAACCAAACGTCCTTAACAGAAAAGAGAATGAACGTGGGTGTCCTTGACCTTATCATCCTCTTACTATGCATGGATAGTGTTATACCTGAATATGTGTGCCCCCTCCCCCTAGCAAACACCAAGTTAAGCACCATACCACATCAAGTACAATGTGGTCTGACTTATTTTGTTGATTCCAGGGGTAGTAATTACTTGATAATATGATTGTTTGAGATGAAATCTGAATTAATCGTCTCCACATCTATTGGGATGACTGTCATAAGGTCGAGTAGGAACACAAAATATTGTCTTTTGCTAAAATTATTGAAACTTTTGGTCATTTTAATGTTGCAGCAGATATGTCACAGACAAGAATTAACGTTGTTGAATCTAATGAAGAATATATGGTGGAAGAACCGATCGAACATCATAATTCTGCTGCAAAAGATGTTGAATCATCCGATGTCCATGAAAGAACTACTAACGATGAAGAAGGTTTCACAGATTGTGATGACGCTGATGCGGATGAAAACGAAGATGGTAAGTTTGTTGCTCATTACTTACCGTTTGCAATATATGATTATTCTTTATTGTAACATATAATTCATGGTTCTATATATTGAGCTGAAAATGCAAAAACAAAAGAGCGTAAGAAGAGGAAGCTGAAATATATTTGGAACCTTCCAAAAGGGAAAAGGATAATGGTTCGCTGCAATGACATAGATCAGCCAGTTGGAAAAGAGGCTAAACATCTTGGGGATTTTCTTGGCTCGCTTGCAAGGAATGGATCACTATGCTGCTTGAGCTACAAGGATTGGAGATTGCTCAAAACTAAAACAAATGTAAAGGCTATACTAGATCAAGTGAAGGTAAAAGTTAATCCATTGAATATCCTTTAGTAGCTTGTTCTATGTTGCCTTACATTACACTCACCCTATTTATGTTGTAATTGTTTTGTAGATGAGGTTCCTTTACCCTCCTCGCATGGAAAAGTATATATTGAAGATAATTGGAGATAGATGGAGGCAACATAAGTCCGACCTGAAAGCAATGTATTTTGATGAGAAAAAAAGCACCAAAGCCAATTGCAACAATAAACCAAATTCCGTGACTCCGGATCAGTGGAGATCTCTAGTTAATCATTGGACAACCCAGAAAGCGAAGGTACTTAAAAGAATTCCATTTTCAACTTTCCTTGTTGGACTTTATATATTGCTGTGTAGATACGATGAAAGATATGCACATAATTGATTTGATTTATTCTTTGGTAGGGGATTAGTGCTACAAACAGAAATAATTGTTCAATGAGGAAGTCTACACATACTAGTGGGACAAAAAGTTTCCCTCGTAAGAGGGAAGAAATGGTAAATTATAATAACTTCATGCATCACTCTTCCATTCATGTTTTCTAATGTAATTCATGTTTACATTACATATCAACAGAAAGATGCAGATCCTGAAAAGAAGTACCCTCATAGGGCTCACTTGTTCATGCACACGCACAAGCCGAAAACTTGCAAGAACAAAATCATTAATGCTCATGTGGTACATTTACAAACTCTCAACCATTCGTATTTGAATTTGATATTGTATATATTCTTATTATTCACAGTGTTCCTGTATTTAGGAAGAATTGAAAGATATTATGGACAAGAACCCTGAATTAGCAGATAACAGCGATGGAAAGACTGCATGGAAAGGAGATGCGTTGAACAAAGTATTAGGGGATGACAAGCCTAGCCATGTACATGGTTTGGGACTAGTTCCAAACCCAAAAAAACTTTTTGATGTTTCCACTTCACATGTATTCCAGAATACACATTTTACTTTGGTGGAGGATACACCAAATGAAGATATGCTAGCTTTTAGAGTTGAAATGGAAAAAATATATCAAGTAAATAAAAATCAGGATGCTAAAATTATGGAACTAGAGGAGAAGATGAGAAGAATGGAAAGACAACCAAATCAGGTAAATTTCTAACAAATGCAAGCTTCATTTATTTTGTGGACTAACCTTTCTGTACTCCTATCATAGGAAATTTCAGATCCAATGGCTACAATTGGGCTTGAACCTTCGGTTGATGGACACAACTCAAACAGAAAAGTTTGTATCTTGTCAAAGTACACAATAAAATTCCTCAAATTTCACTCCAGAAATTATTTCTCAATTAATATTTATGTTATGCTATCTGTAGAGAGTGCTTGCTCCTCAGGTTGATGGACTCCATCTTGTTAAAAAACGATCAAATAATTTACAGAACAAGCCAAGTGGATCAAACGATGCAGATTTGCAAGCATCAAACAAGAATTCTGTTTCAGATAAGGTTTGTCTACTTAAATACTCTTTACAACCTGTCATTGCTGAGTTTTAAGTTGTTGTGGTTGCACTTTTTGCAATTGCATATAAAATACCCAAAACTTGATGTGTATCATTTTATCCTAGAACAAAGAAACTATGGTTCATAATGGTGGCAGTTCACAACAACTAGAAAAATGCTCTGCTGCACACAAGGTATCATCATAGTCCCATATACAAAGTTATGATCAAACTATAGTGCTCCCATGTTTATGTCTTTACTTGTTGCTATCAGAATGCTGTCCAGAACCAAGAAACTCCTCATAATTTCAGTGCTCAGCAAGGGGAAATAAATTCTGCTGCACATAAGGTATATTTCCGTTACCATATACAATATGTTCAAAATATATTGCTCCGATGGTTATGTATCTACAGGTCGTCTTGCTATCAGAATGTTGTTCCGAACAAAGAAACTTTGCTTGAGAATGTTAGTGCACGTCGAGGAGAAAAAACTTCTGTTGCAAACAAACTGGTATGTTTTCATAATCACATACACATTTCTGTTCAAACTATAATGCTAGCTTGTTTATTTGTTTATGACTTATTCTTTGCTATCATACTATTGTCCAGACCAAAAAAACAACAAAAGGTGCCAATGCAAGCAGTAAGAGTGCTCAAAGTGGTTCGCTGAGCTGGTTGGGTGCTAGTGAATTACCTGTAAGAGTGCTCATTCATTTAAGATGTTCCTCTGTTTACTTTCTGTTTTTCTCATATGGTTACTTTGATTTTCTCTAACAGGCAGGAACTAAAGTATTCTTGAAGAGCCTGAAAAACCATAACAGGGATGTAGCTCTTGCTACAGTTGTAAGTTGTGATCCTAACTTTAAACTTGATGGTGCTGAAATTAGGAATGAATTCTGGGCAGTGCATGTTGATGTGGCACTTGTGAAAACTGAAAATTTGGTACGGAGTCGCAAAAACTGCACTACTCTCGGTAATGCAGAAAAAACAAAGATTGCATGGCCCTCTACCTTTGTACGTGACTAATATCTTGCCTCTATTATTACTTGCATCATGTCATTGCATTGTGTGTTAACGGTTCATTTTGTTTTCTTGTTTGTAGATTCAAAAGATAAATGGATGAGTATATGGGTGGGTGGCAAGTGTACTGCAATGATGATGTTCGTATTCTGCTTCATGATGGTGACGATGATGGATGCTTTCAGTTTTAGTTATGTTGTGGGGATGATGTTCTTGTTGGATGTTGCTCCTCGATTAAGTTTTAGTTAAGTTGTAGGGAAGTTGAATGCTTTAGTTTAAGTTTCACTGTCAAGAAAGTAGTTAGATTATGCATCACGTTTGGATGATGTTCCTCTTGTAATATCCACTATTGTAATCCAACAATTTTATCTCATATATGATATATGATTTCTTCCTGTTGTCGGTATATTCTCTTGTTTTTCCTTCACTTGAAATACACAATTACATGGAGCATTGATTACATATAAATGATGATGATGATGATGATGATCATAATAATAATAATAATAATAATAATAATAATAATAAATCTGTGCCAACACTTGAAGCGTTGGAAATTCTTCGTTGCCAAGTAATGGGATTTTGATTCTTGTACATTAACCACCAACATATAAAACTGTTGTAGAAGTCTCCTTTATCTGTTGTAGTCTTGCAACGGTTCCTTTTACCAACGGCAATATAAGCGTTGCATTATGCGCTAGCAACACTGGATAAGGCTACGCATCTCAAACCGTTGGTAAAGACATTAACAACGCATATATGGGCTTTTAGATACGGAAAAAAGTGTTGCTATAGCGGGGGTCTTGTTGTAGTGACAAGAGGAAAGGACAGACGACACATGTTCAAAAACATTGGCAAGAAATCTTCATTGAAGTGGATTTCTGCAACCACCATGCTCACCACTTGCCATCTTCGGACACGAAGAAGAACCATCGCCCTATGAGGTCTTTGTGAGCCTAAGAAGAGGCATGCCACCCGCAATGCCCTTGTTGTTGTGGCATGTCGACCGGGGATCATCCTCATGCTCCTTGAAACCTTTATCTACCACATGTCGTCGAGGCAGAACGCTGGAACTGCCACCCACGAGCCACCAACCTTCTTCTTGGACCTTCATTTTGCCCAACACAAAGATGACACAACACGAGACAGAATCCACCACAAACACAAAAAACACCATGAGATTCATCGCTTCAAGGAAACGATGAAACAAGGTGCCTACATATCCCTCTAGTTCGTCACCATGGGTGCGTCGAGATAGGCTGAGATCGAGCAAAATTTATTCCAAATGCCGGCGTCAGCCCCCATCCAAACGTGTTGTAGGGCACACTAACCCTAACCCTAACTACATCCAAGGCAGAGAGCCGGGGTTTCCCCACCCAACCGTCAACAGAATGATGACTGGAGGGGGAGAGAACCATAGCCTCACCGGTAGGGCGAGGGAGGAGTTCATCGTCTCCCTGATTGCCTTTCTTCGGGACCAGAGGGAGTGAAGCGGTTTGTAAATTATGAGCCATTGAAGTACCTTGGTCCTCAAAGAAAAATTGGAAGAATTATGGCCAACGGCTATGACCATCTTTAATCCATACCATAACACATTTGACGTGTGTCAGTGTCTAACAACTTGACATTGTGTTGTATGCAACAACCCTTTGTGAGTTCTGCCAAGGGCTGAACGTGTTTGGTTTCCTAAGTCATCGATCATCGGGGAGTGGATGGCAAGTAATAAAGTACACTGAAACTACCCAGATTCAGGCGACCATCGAGGTGTGATACCATACTCCTGCTAAGAGTGATATTTCGTGATGATCTAGCTAAAATGTGTTTGGTGTATCCGCCTTAATTGGTAGGCCGCAGTCTTCCTCTATTTATACTACTTTCATTCTTCCTTTCCGCCCCAGGGGTTCTTCGTTGGCCCAGTATAAACAAAGGAAAAGTGGAAGCCGTCCATACCGGATCAATGCGACTAGTCATGGCACTCATGTTCATAACGAGCAAGTGGTTGCCGGACACTGCCCCTGTAACCGCACGCGGGGCAGGTGAATCTCCAGCGCCCACTGTTGATGATCCGAGGGAATGGCATGCCTCGTCGGAGCCCATAATGCTAAGGACGGCTCTGTTGTGCCTCATCTTAGCTGCTGACGACGTTTGCAGTAGCGGGTTGGCATGCATTTAATGCTTCTGGCAAATAGGTACCCCGCTTCTTTCATGAAGAAGAAAACCGTCGGGCGTCGTGCTTCCCGGGAGGGCCCGGGAAGCATTTGTCGGGGCTAGGCGCCCCGCAAAGCACCTAGCACGGGGACCTCATGGTCTCGGTCCTTAATTGACGAGTTGTCATGCCTCAAATCGTGTTGTCTGGTGTGGCGTCACTTGCCAGGCGCCATCGTCAAGGGCCAGGTCCATTGGCCCAGGGTACCTTGGTTCCTATTCGACCGATAACATGGCAGCGCCTATATCATAGAGTTACCTCCAAACAATATTATTTACCATTGCGCCTATATCATAGAGTAATGATAGACCAATACACATGAACACAAAAATTCGGACACCATTTCTAGTTTGTCTCTTTTTCCTATGTGTAGATCGAATTAAATATGAATTGGTGGGACTATAGACACATGTTTCGTTAATCGCCACATTTTTTAAAAAATATGAGATCAAGCACTGGTACGCTACAAATCCCCCCCCCCCCACCCCCCGACACTGGCCGAGCCCGCGGT